TTTTTTTTAACCTTATGTGTTACTGTAGTAAATATTGATTGGCTCCTCCATAAAAATTATGGTTGATTTTTTTTTTTTAATTGTACGCAATCATCTTTTATTTTTTATCTCATTTTATCGTTATGTTACTTGAATTCAGAATTTTTTATTTTTAATAAAAAAAATAACTACTTAATTATTTAGATGGCTGGTGACTCTTTTTAATTAAGGAATACCGAAATCTTTTGATGCCATAATTTTGCTTTTATATATGTATATATATATATATATTTAAATAACGTTTTAGTTATTGGCGAATTTGTTTTGGGCCGTGAAAGCCACAGCCCAATAACCAACATAAAATAACCAACCGTGTTCTGCTCTCTTCCAATCTGCATAACGGGATCAGCCAGGCCAGCACCTCCTCTTGCTCTCTCCATCTAAGAAATTTTTACATCAGATCTACAAAAATGGCGGCATCAGCAGCGGCGGCGGCGGCACCCGATCACTTGTTCAATTTGAGGAACAACTTCTACCTGGGAGCGTATCAGGCCGCCATCAATAACAGTGACCTTCCGCATCTCTCTCCCGACGATGCCGTCGAGCGCGACTGCCTCGTCTACCGCTCCTACATTGCTCTTGGCAGCTACCAAGTAATTTCCCTTATTTCTACATCTCTACTCTCGAATTGCTCCGTCATCTTCGTTTCTTTGTTTTCTAATCCGTTTCTGTTCCTCAGCTTGTGATCAATGAGATCGACTCCTCCGCTGCCACCCCTCTCCAAGCCGTCAAGCTGCTTGCTCTCTACCTCTCCAGCCCTCATGACAAGGTTCTTTCAAGATCCAACTTGGATTCGGCCTCTGAGTATTGTTTTTTGTTTTTTGTTTTTTTTTTTTGGCCATGGATCTGAGTATTGCTTTTATTATACCAACTCTTGTGGAGATCATGGTTCGAATTTCGTATAGGAGCTAAATCCATTGAGATCTAATTCTGGGGGTCTCATTTTGTTGTTCAGGAATCGACAATTTCTAGCTTGAAGGAATGGTTGGCAGATCCAGCCATTGGAAACAACCCTATCTTGCGGTTGATTGCTGGGATCATTTTCATGCATGAAGAAGATTATAATGAAGCTCTGAAACACACCAATGCTGGAGGGACTATGGAACTGTGAGTCGGAATTGATTTTATACAAGTTGGGATTCTGATAATGAATTATACTTATACATTCTAAGTTTGAATTCAAAATCTATATATTGGTCAAGGTCTGAAGTTTATTGATTTTATTTTTCTCTTTTCCTTCTTTGCAGGTATGCACTAAATGTGCAAATATTTATTAAGATGCACAGGTCAGATTATGCAGAGAGACAGCTGAGGGTCATGCAACAGATTGATGAGGACCACACTCTGACTCAGCTTGCAAATGCATGGTTGAATTTGGCAGTGGTATGCAAAATATTTCACTTCAATAAGACTGTAATTCAGAAATCATGCATATTATGATGGTGTTTACTATTTTTGTCAAATCAGGGTGGTTCCAAGATACAGGAAGCGTATCTTATCTTCCAGGATTTCTCTGAGAAGTATCCAATGACGGTATTGATCCTGAATGGGAAGGCTGTCTGCTGCATGCACATGGGAAACTTTGATGAAGCTGAAACACTGTTGCTTGAAGCATTAAACAAGGCAAGTTTAAACATCCATAAATTTATTTTTTCTTGCTTTTGTACTTTTCATTTGTAATCTCCTTGTGCTGCTTATAGCCACTTGATCAGGATTCTACTGTTAATCACGTTATGTATGGTTCTGCACTGCCAAATTATACTCTTTATGCATTGATTTGGTGCAAGTATGAAGTTTTTAAGATGGTTTTATTTTTCATTTGACCATTTTCTTTAATTGCCAGCAAAGTTTCTCTTTCTAAATTATTTTCTTGAATTTCCTTTGTATTCCCTACCAATTTTTGTACTTCAAATTTGTATTGAGATCAAGTAATTATGGGTACTCAAATTTTCCTTCTGCATTGCATTATTACATAGGTCTGTAGTTTTCAACGTTGTATGCTAATGAGTAGTTTTATCAATTAATATAGGATGCAAAGGATCCAGAAACTCTGGCCAACCTGATTGTATGCAGTCTTCACCTTGGTAAACCATCTTCACGTTACCTAAGGTAAACCAACCATTCTTGTCCTCCATTCTCTCCCTTCCTTTTCAAAGTTATACTTTGGGTGGTTAGCATGTGAATCATTTTTTTCTTACTGCCATCTCAAATATGATGATGATATGAAGTAGTTTAACTGATTGGAACAGAAAAAGGAGATGATTGGAAAGTGGTCCAGCATGTCTAGATTGATAGGGACTCAAGTCCATCAGAGCAGTTGCCATCTTTAACTTTGTTTTACCATGTCAGTTTCTGTTAGAAATTTGGAGTCCTCCTAATTGTATTAGATGTCTTAGTTCCCAGTATTCTTGAACAACTGGTAGCTATAGAGTTTTTTGGCAAATTCTTCAAGATAGGAAACAAGCAGCCTCACTAGGGTTCTTTTGTTGGTTACTTTTAGTATATTGTTTCTTGTGTTCTGGGAACTCAAATTATAGGCAAGAACCTTGTTTTTATGTTGCTTTAAAATTAGAAGCTGTTTTAGTGCTAGGGCTAACATTTCATGAGGTTTATGACATGAAACAGTTCATTATTGTTTATGAATGGCCATTTGGCATTTCCATCTCCCTAAATATGATTGATTGGACTTTGGAGAATAGTGAGGAATGGTAGAATACTACCTTCAACCTTGCTGATCATTAAAAAAAAAAAAAAATGAAGAAGAAGGAACCTTCAATCTTCAATTGATGGACGCACTATTTTATCAGCAGGCACTAAAAGTTTACTAAAATGCATCTTGCATGAAGAGCATTGAATTTTTTTTTACATGCTGGGTGAGTATGCATCATACATGGTACTATGTGCACAGACAATCATGAATGGTAATAACATGGAATTGGGATTGTTTATCAAAGCGTTACTGCTGTACCTTGGATTGTTTGTAAATCTGCTGCCACGTGACTTCTATTTTGTTTCTGATGAAGTCATGATTTCAAGAACAACATTTGGCCTATGGTTTTTTTATTTAAATGCTGCATGCCTATCAACTATTCACTGAGAGAAGTATAGAATAGATCTGCTCCTTTGGTGACTGTATCTTAGCTTTTTTCAGTGGTTTGAGATTTCAAGCTTTAAAAAATTCAGAAGTGGAAATCATTGAGTTAGTGTTCTTTCCAGAAAGTGATAGATTGAGATTTGTGTGGTGTCATTTCATGTTCATGGGGCAGATTGAATGTAATCTCATCTTTGTTTCATTGATACCATACCATTACCATATAATCTGCAATGAGGTGTCACAATATTGGTTATTTCAGGGAATGATACAAATCCTGTAATTGTTTTGTAATTGTTTTTGCAGCCAATTGAAACTCTCACATGAAGATCACATTCTTGTTAAACGGTTGTCATCTGCTGAAGAGAGCTTTGAAAGAGCACTGCAATCAGTTGGTTGAAGAGGTTAGTGCAAATGGTGCTTGTCTTTTCTTAGCTGTACACAATGGAAGTGGCTGTTATTTGAGTTTTGTAGCGTACCAAAATATATCCTTATTTGACAGACTTGAACCGCACGGAGAATTATTTTTCCAATCAAATTGTTGGGTAATGTCTTCATATATTGGAAGTTCTTGTTTAATTTGCTGCATTTGTAATCACTCTTGTTTTAATACATCTTCCTTCTATGTGGTATTCGTAAGTCCATAGAGTGGGACCGTATGATTATATTCAATTCAGTGTATTCATAAGATTTATCACGCAGCTTTTATATGTGTTGGGGCGGGGTTGTCGAGATTAAATGCATACTAAATCCATTTTTATTCCTTCATTCGTTTTTTTTTTTTTTTTGGGCCAAAATCATAGAAGTCATTCTTTTAGTCGTGTTCTCTTCTTTAAAGCATTTATGGGTGCGTATGAAGACTCTTGACTTAGTGTTTCTTCAGGGTAAGGGAAGTCAGAAATTTTTAACTCATACATGCATTTCCGCACAGAAAATTTCTCGCGTCTCCCCAACTGGTGGAATGCCTTTGGATTAATAGATTGAAATTATTATTCTCCAATAATAATCATCGAAGTTTGATTTTTTGATTTTTAAAACAAGAAATAAAAAATTAGGTAAAAATATAACATAGTATATGAATGTTAATTGAAATTTTATGAAAAAAAAAATGAAACCTACCAAACAAGAGCCACATATGGTTGTTATGTTAAATTTTCACTTAAATTTTTTGTCTTAGAAGTTAAATTATATATATATAATATATATATATATAAAAGGGGGATTGGAAATACTATTGCAGAACAGAGGCAGGAGTTCAAAATTCGTCAGGTTGCTCTTATTTATATCATCCAAATTCCAAAGTTTATTTTTCGTGCACGTGAGGATGGATTTGATGGATTTCCCTTTTTGTGTCAGCAACAATGACGGATTATACAAGTTGTTCGGCCCGCTCGTCTCCCTAGTCCTCTTAACACTCTCCGCCTATTTTAAAGCTCAAACCCGAGACTTCTAATTGGGCTCAAGTTCTTATCGATTATTACTAGTTAGGATGGTTTACCAGAGCTGATATGACTCACATCACAAGGTGTGGTAATATAAAGCAGATGCATGCTCTAGCCAAGCTAACCAACTCCGAGGTTGGCCATTCTTGGGATTCATATCTGCATCGAATACCAAGAGGACCCCAGTTTTGATGAAGAAGGCAGACACTTTCTATGAATATCAAACTGTAATGGATGCGATCTTAAGATTCAATTAAGTTACGATCTCACGATTTACGCGTGGAAATCTCAACTTCCCCTTGGATTTTAGAACCGGTTTAGTATACA